TTCTTAACAAGACTTCAGATATCAATGTTTTTTGTAGGATAGTTGTGATAACACTCTTAGGGCTATATAAACACCTGCTTAGCACACTTCCGTTCATTCCACATGGTGCTGCAGTGGCAGCTGGAGGGCAGTGGAGAGAGGAAGGGAGGATGAGGAAGGGAAGCGAAAAATCTACCGTCATATCATGATTGTGTCCCTTCTACTGTATGAAACACCATTGTGTTGCATACGCGTCACTTCCAGGAGGTGTTGGTGTCACAGGAGGAAGGGACCATAGCGGAGGATAGAAAGCTTGCGCAGGAAAGGAAGGTCCCGGCGGTTGACGGGGGACTAATCTGGTATTTATATGATAGCTTGGCGTTAATCATCACTTATCCAAAAACAAATAAAAGATGTTAACAATTTTTTTTCAGTGAGATTGAAGACGTTTTCAAAAAATTGGATGTTGACGAAGACTGTCGTGTGATAATACTCAGCGGTGAAGGCAACGCTTTCTCCTCAGGACTGGATATCAAGGGTACCGTTCACACTTTCAATATATGGAAACCCTTCTTTGGGTGTTATGCAAAGTTCACAAAGTGTGGCATATAAACTCCAAAAATTTCAACAAACGCGTATAGGTTTTCTCTCTTATTGGTAAAGGATGAAGGATAAAGCAGTCAGTGTTTGTCAGTTCCTTTTGGGATAAGCACCGCATTCCATTACCATTCAAATTGTAGTCGCATTTGGATGCGATTTTACGGTGACTTATGGGAACCACGGTACATGTCTTCTTTTCTCTACAATTCTAGTAGTAATTTACTGGAATCGGAAGGATGGAATGCTTGGCATAATAGGCGCACCATTCATGATTTGCTTCATTAACCGCACACGTGGCAAGCAACACCACTTGCCACCTCATCACTTCTATCCTCCGTTATCCTTCAGAAAATGTTACCGAGTTATTTGGAGAATAGAAGAGTAACACATTTCCTGGATACTGAAATTATTTTTTCAATTTGAAACACGCTGTAAAATAGGAATTTAATTGTTCTCGTTCCTAGCAGTTCTACGCAATGACGAGAAGGAATATTAGTGCTCTACAGGGTGGCTACTAAATATTGGCGCATGGATTGTTGACCATATTTTTAAAACGAGAAGCTTTTACATCTTCAGAGGTTTATCTTTATATACCTTATAACATGGCAGTACATTGCTAAAGAAAGTGCTCGAAATGGCCTCCTTCGGCAGCGATACAGGCTTCAAGTCTCTTCTCAACTGACATCACTGTGGGCCGCAAGTAGCTGACGTCAAGCTCCTTCCACGCCTCCTCCAAGGAAGCCTTCAGGGAGTCCAAACTTCGACGTTGCTCAGAAGGCATCTTCTGCTTCAAGAAGCCCCACACCGCCAAATCAATTGGTTCAAATCGGGCGACTTAGATGGCCAAACATTTGGTGTCCGGTTAGCTTCACGTTTTAGAAATATGATCAATAAACCATGCGCCAATATTCAGTAGCCACCCTGTATAGTTCCATTTGGAAATCACAATATTATTTTTCTCTTTTTTTCTGACCTTTGAAGGGGCCGGCCACTAAATAACCTTGATATGATAGAAAGTACGCAGTTTATATCCAAGAAAGTGCCCTAATAAGACTCCTACCACGTTTCTTGTCTGTTCTTCTAGTGGAAGTGGCTGTTCTTTTTCTTCGACTTGTTTGGTCTTAGCATTCTTTTGGGGCGTTGCCAGTTTTCACTTGGAGGAGATCAGTCTCACACCTCTTGCAACATGGCATATTGTTGGCAAGGGAGGTCTTTCAAAATGTGGGGGCTTTTCAAAACGGTTTCTTGCAAGCTGCGGGAGCTCTCACGTAGACTACAAAGCTGAGGCCATTTTTGCCGAGCGACCCCTGGAGGCCAGGAGAGAATCTCAAAAATTTGTTCGAAGTGGGTGATTTTACAGCGTCGAAGTGGTGTGTGGAGCTTCTGGTGGAGAGTACCCAATCCAGAAGATGAATATAACACCTGCTCTTGGTGCAGGGGCCATTTGGAGGAAATTTGAAGAAAATGGATCTCAATTGTGTATCCCACAGAGACCTTTTTGTTAAATTTCAGTATATGCAATTCAGATGGTGGATTGATGGACCTAGTCACTCTGCAGGATGGCGAGGACATTGCTCGTAAAGCGAGACAAATCAGAAGAAAAATCCTTGAAATGCAGCAAGCTTTTACGAATATTGAAAAAGTGGGTGTACTTGAATTGAGAACTGTAATTGAATTGACAGATTGTAGTATAATGCAGTAATGCTGTTTCAAAACATAATGAAAGCGGAATGGCTGCAGCGCCTCAAAGGAGTGAAGCTCGAAAATTTTATTTTTGCTTTTCAATCTTTTGCTTATCAAATCAATGGGCGACGATTCGGAGAATAGCGAAGCTTCTTGTGATGATCACAGTGGAATTCTTTGTATTTGCCAGCACACGATTGTTTCCCAAGCGAATGCTAATGCGGAAAGTCATAATCTATCCAAAATATGCAAACATTTGTTGGATATGATATTGACGAACATTGCGATGTTTCAGTGCTGTAAACCTGTTATTGCTGCTGTGCACGGAGTTTGCTATGGCGGCGGGATTGATATTATCACAGCGTGTGACATTCGACACAGCACAAAAGATGCAAAATTTTCAGTGAAGGTGAGGTTTTTGCTCACTCACTAGATATTTCACTATTGGTGATTGGCTTCAGACTTGTAAAAAATCTGCTTGGAGTCAAGTCAAAGTGAGGCTCTTGAAATCAGAAAAAAATGTCTAGAGGTAAGCAAACCAGCCCTTTTGGCGTTTCTGCTGGGGCCGTATGCTGAATGTTGGGGAGGGGATGGGGTCCCCGAGGTCGACGGACTACTTGAACTCGGTCGGTACGGTAGGAGAGTGATGACGAAGTGGTGCAGCTAGGTCCAGCAGCTCCGCCAAAAGGGCTGGTTTGCTTACCCCGCTCTCTCGCAGGTCCGTCCTCTCTTTAAGGCTTAGTCCTGAGGTAAGCATCAAATTGAGGCGGTTTTAAGGACCGAGTTGAAGTAGTCCGTCGACCGTCGGGGACCCCATCCCCTCCCCAACATTCAGCATACGGCCCAGCAGAAACGCCAAAAGGGCTGGTTTGCTTACTTCGTCTACACCGCAGGAGATTCCTTACGGCTTAGTATTATAGCTCCATTCATTATAAGAAGGAATTTGCGATTTCTGGTGCTTCCTTCCAGAATGCTTTGTTTTCTTTGGCTCAGGCGAGTCGCCAGCGATCTATGCATCATTTTGAAAAGCTTTCACTCCTCATTCTCACAGGGGATCAAGCTTTTGTTTGAAGTCATTTCGTTATCACTTTCTCAATGAGCAGGTCCCATATTTCCAGCTTGCTCCATCTTAGAAGCTTTCGGTTGATTCACGGTTGTTCAAAGGCCTAGGGTCCTCTTGATAGCGGCAACGACGGGACGTTATTGACTGATGACACAAGAATGTAACACAAGAATCTTTAGGAAATGCCTCAGTATATTGTGATAGCGCTTCGGAGGAATATTAAAGGCATGCCCCAGGATCACATTGGTGTGGCTCTTGCACACGAATGCGAATGTATGGTGCGAAAGTGGGCCGGCAGTAAAGAAAAAAGGAAAAGAATCCGTCGAAAACGCTTAGGTTAAGGGCTCACTCACCTTCCTAATCGGCTGTGCTAAGGGAATGAGAGACTAAGCGCGGAGAGGAGAGTGGGGCGAGAGAGCGCTACAGATGAGAGAGCGCCAGACAACAGCCTGATAAGAGAAAAAAGTCTGCAGCTTGGGCAGCTTACTTTGCAAGGCCCTCTTATCGGTTGGTTTCCGTGCACGAGAACGCCACATTTGTGATTGTCCTCTAGGGGTCTATACTACAGACCGAAGAGAAGCGTTCACACGACCTCTGCCTGGGTTGTGCCTTTGAAGGAGGGCAGTGAGTCCGAATTCCGGTGAATAAGGAGTGACGGATTGCCTGAGAAGTCATAGCATTTTTAGGAAAAGTTCTTAAAATTGCCTCACTTCGTGATCACCCCGAGAGATTATTTCAGAGAAGAGAAACGATATACGAGAAATGTGCGGCGTCAAAATAGTTGGACTGCGTAGCTCCTTGAATATCTTGCAGAGGAGGATCGAAGATGTTGCATAGGTTGTAATCTTACTAAAGTGTATCGTACGAGGTGTATACTCGTTTCTGGACCGAAATTTAAGGTTAAAATGCTGGATGCTCTCGTGTCTTCTTTGCTTTTTCTTTACTTCCGCTTCCGTGGTCGCCATTTTGTAAGTGTAAGCGCCAACGAAAGCTTTAAATGTGGGCTCATAAAACAGTGAAAAGTAAACGAACCATACTTCATGGGGTTTATGTACCCATTTATGGATCATAATTAGCGGCGAAAACAGCTTCCGCTTTCCGCAAATTTTTAGCAGAAAAAAAGAACACGCAAACCTCGTATTTGAGGGTGCCTATTTCGAAGCTTCAAAAAAAAGTCGAGCAAAACGTTCTATAACCTGACTCTCTACATGAGTGAGAAACGCATTCCGATTTTCAGTTGGTGGCATTTGCTTTGTAAGTTGCGGAGGGATATTGAAGCGGAGGGGTGGCGTAGCAGATACTCAATGGTAAGTAAATGGCAAAAAGCACAGAAATAACTTCATTATATTAACCAGAACTTTGGTGTGTCGGTTTGTCGGTGTGTGTGTGTCGTTCTGTCCGTCCGGACCAACCGCTCACAAATAGGGAGTACGAAGGGCAACACTTCGTGATGTTGATGTCATGATTATGATAACACTCACACGGCTATATAAACACCGATCAAGCACACTCAGCCTCATTTTACATGGTGCTGCCGTGGCAGCTGGAGGGAGAGGCCTAGGAGGGGGGAAGGCAGGGATGGGTAGGAGGGGAGAGGAAAGAGGGAGGAAGTGCATCGCTTTCAAGATTACGGTTCGGTCCTGTGTTGAGGTATTATTGCAAAGTGATTGTGAGAATACTACAACGGCTATATTAACACCTACTTAGTGCGATTTCAGTTATTTCACAGGTGTTGCAGTGGCAGGAGAAGAGCAGTGGGGGAGGAGGGGAGGATAAGGTGAAAAGAAGGAACGCCAAGCTTCGCAAGGAGGGAAGGGTTCGGCTGTTGCCGGGATTCAATCTGGTCCATCAAAAATACGCAAAAGTGGATTGCCCGTTCATTTCGACCATGTATGACGGTGTACACAAGGTAGGTTTTGGTGCTTGACTGCGATAGCCGCCATCAAGCCAGTGAAGGCCACGGTTTGATTGAGAGCATTACATAGGCAAGTTGGAAATACAGCTGTTGAAAGAATGACCTTCGAAATGAAAAGCTAACAACAAACAGCTCGCCCAAATCACCAAGTATATTAGTGGGTGAGTGGTTAGGGATCGTTCCGTTTTTCAAGCACTGCTCCGCAAGCAGCGCCCTTTGTCATGAACGTGCAACGCCTCCCTTCATTTGCAACCTTGTTACTGCTTCCACTGGCAAATATAAAAATGCCCAAAAACGTCCAAAACTACAGTTTTTTTAAAATCATATATATTGTAACAGAAAACTAGTTCTCAGTCCCATGTTCAGACTGGTGAGTAGCTCATCTTTCCCTAATTTGATTGAATTCATTCTGTAGTTATAAGGGATTTTTTTAGGAAGTCGACGTTGGTTTGGCAGCCGACGTTGGAAGTCTCAATCGCCTTCCAAAAATTTGCGGCAACGAAGGTTGGCTTAAAGAGGTGACCACGTTCTGTGCAAGCTTTTTGTTCTGTTGAAAACCAAAATAAGAAAACATCAAAAACTAAACCATGCCTCATTACTTCATTCTTTACAGGGCCATACATTACACATTTGTGTGCTGATGCCATGTTTTTTTTGTCGGAATACCTTCCGCATATTTTTAAATATGGATAGAACTTTGTATCTTTCGTCCTCGGAGAAACTCAACCTTTGTTATATTCGAAATGTTACAGTCATCTTGAAAATTGCTTCTGACTTTTTTGTGTGCAGAGAGTCCAAATTTTGAATCCTGTACACATCAGAAAAGATATCACTTGTTTGTGTACTATACCTATTCAATTGCCCAGTGGCGCTTAATCTCAGCTTAAATTGACTTAATTTTTAGGTTGCCTTTACTGCTCGACACTTCGATGCTGATGAGGCGCTGAAATTTGGTGAGCAAGTCTGCCGTATTTGCCCCACCCATTCTTCTGTGCCGTTTACCAGTCACTTTTTTGCACACATTCGGCTTCCTTGTAGCATTAGCCACATTCTGCGCACCTACGACCACGAAGATACCACGCATTGTGACGCTGACCCCTGCGCACACGATCCACACCCTTTCAATCGGCCGCGCACGACCTCATGTTGGAC